AGACAGACACGACCCACCAAGGCCACCTGGCAATAGGCATAGAAGGAGGTGGTCTGGAAAAGAGCAAAAGAGGAACATCTGGGAAATGCTGCAGCTTTGAAATAACACCCACAGACAGCAGTGATGCCCCTTTGGCCCAAAGCACGGCCAGGAAATGAAAAACATAATGCAAAAATACCCTGGGGCAGAGTCTTTTCTCAGAGGAAAGGAGCTGCCATGCCAAGGGGGACCTTAGCACCACCGCTAATTCAGTGCAGAAACTGCTTGGACATGACGGGAGCAAAGGGAGAAGCCTCACAGCAAGCAGGTAAATCAGTGACAGAATCTGAGCAGCAGTGACAAGATTGCTGCTGCAGGAACCACAGCTCTTGATACCCTGACCTTGGCAAATATGTGTCTCAGTCAGAAAAATGCATGCAGTAATTTCCTTTGTTTACAAAATGCACACTAAAAAATAATAATAATAATAAAAAAGACACAGGCTTCTCCTTCAGAAGAGCCAGCCAGCACGCTTTGCATTACTCTGATGTCAGGGTTACCCCTGAGGAAGTTGCAGAAGGTTTTCATTAATTTCTAAGTGCAGGCTTCCACCAAGGCAGTGTTTCTGGATCCAGCCAGAGTGCTGCAGTATCATAAGGACAATAAATAAACTGTGGAGTCACATCAGCTTGAACTATTTTTATGGCATGTATTACAAATACACCCAAACATCCCATTTCTCCAGCATGTATTTTTACCACCACAACGTCTGTGTGAGGTACAAAGTGGTAACATTTTCTTTTTAAGACAGATGAAGATTTATGGCACTCGGGTGGAAGGAGGAACTCCACGGGATTTTTCCAAAGCACCTGTGTATTCATTTGTAGGTGCCAGCTGTCACATAGACATGCTCTGCCTCTCCTGGGGCCACCAGGCTCATTTGGGGAGCCCGGGGGAAAGCAGAGCCTGACTGGGGGGCTGCTTCCACCACCAGGCCGTTTTCCTTCCATTTGTGCCTTTGACTTTCAAGCAGTTTCTGAGTTTTTCAGTGGCCAGTTAAAACTCTCCTTTTGCTGCTGTTTCCACATATTTGTCTCTCCTCTGTCAGCTGCAGGTGAAGCTGCTTTGGGAGCAATTCAGATGCAAAACTTGGCTTAACACCCTTTGGCAGCACACACCCCATTTATGTAGCTTCTTAGCATCAAAAAGTCCTCAAGCTCTCTCAACCCAACCACCACAAGCCTTCTCCTTTGGTCCCAGATGTTTCTATCAGAGAGATCCCATCCTAGCAGGAGGATGGAAACCAGCCCTGCAGCCCATGCTGAAACCTGCCTTAGCTGTGTTATGGAGAGTGGAGAACTGCAGAGGGTTCCCTAATTCTCCTGTCCCCCCATCTCTTTGGTTGCTTCCCTCACACCTCCTGTACTTCCCCTCCACTGGAAAGGCTTAATGATGCCCACTTAAAAGATCTGTAGGTTAAAAAAAACCAAACAGAAGTGTTATGTTTTGCTTGTTCAAACAAAAGAAGACACCTGTGTACACATCTCCACTTGGGGACAGGACAAGAGAACAAACAAGCAGCAGGTGTTTGTCGTGCTGATCAGTGGATGCAGAGAGATGCAGGGAAGTGGTGGCAACAGGCTGAGCTTCACAGGTTCCAGAGACAAACTGGCCCAGGGCAGCAGCAGGACAGGCTGTGGGCACCACCCAGCATGGCTGGATGTGCGATACAGGCTGGGAACGGTGCGCCTGTGGGTAGCTGGGCAGGAAGGAAAGGCAATAAATATCTCTCTCCTGCATTTGGGAGGAAGCCAGATGAAGCATTCCTGTCACGAGGGTGAAATGCTTTCCACTCTAACAGTAACTCAGGAGGATGTTAAACAATAGTTGCATAAGGTAAACATTAAAAACTCAGCAGGCTGGGTATCCCGCATCTCAAAAATAAAATTAAAAAAAAAAATCTGATTTTAAAAATCCAAGCTATTAATGATGACATTCAGCAAGACAAGGGAGCCTGGAAAAGCTCCAGAGAACAAGCAAGCTGATATTATGCCAGCATTTAAAAAAAGTAAACAGGATGGCCTTGTAAACAGGTGTGTCTATTCGACAGACATCACATGCAAAATAATGACCAAGAAATATGTGATCACGTTGATAAAGATTTAAAGCAGAGAAATATAAATATCAATCATCAGCGATTACAGACAATAAGCCTTCAGACTAACATGATAATTTTTTTGGCACTGCATGTTCTTAAATATCAGAGAGCAAGCTGGCTGGTACAGAGCCATGTGAGATCAAGGAACAAGCTCACAGGTGACCTGGCCAAGTGTGAGGCAGCAGAGGAGATGCTCCCCATGGAGCTGTACCAAGGATGTGTTTGTAGCAGGGAGTGCTAAATAGTGTAAAGCTGATGACCTGGAGGGAAATGAAGTCATGATGGGCACAGCCTGTTGTCCTGGGAGCCCTTGGGATCCCTGGGGCAGTGGGCCCATACACAGTGAAAGATGCTCATTGTCTGCAATAGAGCCCAACCGGTACTGAGGTGGGCCTTGGAGGCCAGAACAAACCAGTGTCCATCTCCGTCACACTCTTGCACCCAAGCTGGGGCCCAGACAGCCCAGCAACACCTGCTGTGCTGGGACTGAGCCCCCTCCTTGCCAAAATTATCCTATTTGGAAGAGAGGAGTTCAAAAGGAATTGGATAAGGCAAGGGAAAAGAAAGACCCTGAGGGCTCAGTGCAGCAGCACATCCCATGCTCACAGGAAGAGAGTGCTTCCCCATGGCCTGCTTGGCCCCTGCCACAGGGGGACACAGCCCCAGCCTCTGCCCTGACCAGCAGCGCTGTGCTTTTATTCTGACACAGTGCACTGGGAATGTTGAACCCCTGTTGGACTTGCAGACCACAGTGACGAGCAGCGGACCGTGAATTCCACTGTGAGTTTATGGGTAAAAGGCTTGTTCCTTTTCCCTGTTCAAACATTCAGACACTGGCAGCAACCGGCTAAGAGGTTAAAGTCGCTCTACATTTGAGACTCCCATTCCCACAATCAGAATAGTGTGTCCTAGTCCAGTGTCCCAAAGGACACAGATGCATAAGGAGATTTGGATGCGAGTCAAGAAGTGGAAAATGGAAAATATGCCTTAAAGCAAAAGGGACTTTCATCAGTTCAGTCTTTCATTAAAAAGGATCAGGAAAGCTTGATCATAATATCCGACTCCTCTCTCTGGGACCAACAGCTCAGGGGCTCACTCCCTGGCTGAGAAGATCCACTGACTGGAAGGGAATTAAAGAAATGCAGCCTCAATCTAAGGTGCAACAAGAAAAATAGTTTTTAGAACGACCTACCAACCACTGTAGCTGAGACACATCAGTTCAAGATCAACTGTTTTCCTAACAACAGTGCTCTAATTTTCTCGAGAATGAATTCACGGCAGCCTGTGTCATGCAGGAAGTTACGCTGGCGAGCCCAGCCAGCCTCCCCGGCTTTATAATCTACGGAAAAAAATCCTGCCTGTGTTTCCCTTCTTCCCGTCCAAGTGTGTGAAAGGTCTGGCCGGCCCCACTGGAGGCGTTTTTGGGAGAGCCAGGTTAGCGTGGGCAGCAGGCAGCTGTGCCGTGCCTGTGTCCCACACTGCCCGAATCACCCCGGCAGCTGCTGGCCCTGGTGCTCCTGCACTGGGGCATTTTAGCTTTATAAGGAAGCCAGTCTGGGGGGACAAAGGGAAGCAGCATCCTAGAGCTGAGGCTCCACGAATGACGGGTGCCAGGGATCTGACACACACAGTATTCTGCCTTCCTTTCCAACCACAGCAGGGATGTGAGACAGAGCAGGGCACAGGCATTCACATGGTGCTCAGCCCATCACGGGGAACAGCCCTGCAGGCTCTCACTCCCTGGCCCTCAGGCTCCAGTTTTTTGCACAAACCCCTCACACTGGAACAGTAATGTGCCTCCTCTGCCCTCACCCTGCAGTCAGTGTCTCCTGAGAGAACTGGAACCTCCGTGTTGTTTAGGAGCAAGAAAGCAATTCCATCAGTCTGGCTGGGATGGTGCCACTGCAGACTCCACTGGGCTCATTCCTAGCGGAGCAGCTTTGCCATCTTATAAGCTGTTTGTGCTTCCAGCTCAACTTTCTACTTCCCAGCACTTTTCAAGGGCCAGCACATCAAAATGGGTCGATAACTGCCCTAGTCACAGCTTTGTGGAAGGTTTTGTTTTGGGAGAAGGGCTCACAGCCTCTACAAATAAGCTGGATCTGATTAGTTCATAGGCAAGCAGTGCAGGAGCAGCTGCCGGCTCTATCTGCTGAGTGGAGATTTCCTCACCCGAAGATTGCTGACAGATGCTATTGAGTAAAACACAGTGCTGGCTTTCACCAGAAGTCAAAAAGGAAGTCCAGGCAAGTGCAGCAAGAGGCACGACAGTTTTCCTTTAGGATAGTGCTGCATGTACTGATGTGCTCCATGGGGATGCGCCCCCACCTTTAATCTCAGAGGAATCTCTCACTGGGCAGATTATATGTTACAGCTCAAGGGCACAAAGCAAAGATGGCTTCACAATGCCCAGTTCTAAAGAGAAATGGCCAATCCAGAAGTGCCACAGTCCTGAGCAGATTGAAGTATGTCTCTGAAGTGATAAATCGATCCTGAAGTAGCTAGGAAACTTTATAGGAAACACAGAAGCAGACAAGCATGGAAATGAAATTGGATCTAGCTGGGATTTGCTGCAGTATCAGAATACAGAAACTCTGTGCTTCTGTTCCTGAAGTGCTGCCTTCTTGCTGTGGGCCTTGTAATAGTCTTTCCCAGTATTTTGCTTTCTGGGGAATAGTCAGAATTGGTTTTCAATGCAGGAGATGTTTGCTGCTCGTGTTTGTACCCTGCTGACTCACTCTACAACACCTCTTTACCCATAAACCTGCAGCTCCAACACTCAGCCTCCAACATTTTCAGTGTATTTTAGACTGGAGATGCTCTGTGCTTCCCCAGAGGGAAATGAGAGTTCCTGAGAGATGGATACCAGTGTCTCACAGTGTGCATAACGAGGTCTTTATTCAACAAGAGGGAGTAAAGAAAGAACATACTGAGTGACCAAGCAGAAACAAGGAGCAGAGTGCTCCATGCAGTCTTCAGGTTCTGTATCAGGAAAGGGTAGTTATCCTTCAGGCCAGACCCGGAGAAGATGGGATCAATACCATAACCAAAGTCCTCTGCTCTGGCTGAACAGAGAAGTAGTTGTGTCCTGGAGATGTGGCCACCAGCAGCTCCACACACGCCACCCAGCAATAAACAAAACCCAGGGAAGGGCCCTTAACCCCTATCTCCCTGGATATGGTATGTGGCTATGTAAAGGGACTAGTCCTAGAAGGAATCCAAGTAGGGTGGCTGCAGCAGTAACAACACTGCTGTTCCCTGGGTCTGGTTCATCTCAGCTCACCTCTGGTATGGATGCATTGAGGCAGATTTGATGTTTGTTTTTATGCCACTTGGCATTTTTCCTAAAGAGAGGGAAAAAAAAAAAGAAAAAGCAGTGCAAAATCAGCATATGGGAGAACATTTGCTCAGGAGCATGCAAGAGTCACAACAACCCCATCTGGGCTTTTCTTGTTCCACTCCAGGCTTATCTGCTACAGCATCTTCCAGCTTCTGATCTAACACAATCAATCTCTTCTACAAACTGGCATCTTTCCCTGTTGAGAAATCTTCTTGACAACTCCTGTGTCCCTCTGTTATCCCCTCACATTCTATCCTTGTTCCACCCTAAGGAAGCCTTTCTCTTTGTCAGGAGGCTCCTACATCACTGTTGGACTTAGTTTCACAGAAGTTGCTGGCAGCAGCACTCACAGAAGAACCCAGACTGATCTTCACTTCCATTTCAGAGAGGCAAACACAGAGCCTGTATGCCCTTACACGCAGCATTATTTACAGTCAGGGTGTATATTTAAATTACTAAGCCTCTCTGAGATCTCTTCATTTCTTGTAACCACATCCACCTCTTGGGCATTATTACTCTTTGCTGATACCAATCACACATGGAAGCATGTTCAAAGCTTACTAGCAGCCTACAGTGAGTGTACAGTGCTAGACAAAACTGAAATGTCTGAAAAATAAACAGTGATTAAAGAGCAGCTCAGAGGGATATTCAAAGAACACTCCTTCAGTGTCTTCAAATTAAAACAGGAAAAAAAAGGACAACTTCTGGAAGTTAAAACTGTAGTGCAGCAGGACAAGAAAAGAAAAGATTTGATAAGCAAATGCCTAAAAGAATAAAGATTATTAAACTTTCTCAAACATATCCAAAATGGGTCATTGCCAGCAATAAATGGGCAGGCAACTGATATATCACTTCAGTGCTAACAAGCAGTACACAAATACTGTTAGACACTACTCCAAAAGCAAGTGAAAAGGACTGCACAGTTCACCTGCATCTGGGACACTGTGAGCAATTTGGGTGTTCCCAGTCTTGGAAACAAAGAGAAAAAGTGCAGGTCAGAGTGACAAGGATGTTCCAAGTTATCATTTTCACACGAAGTCACATTAAAGAGAATAGGACTCATAAGCTAAGGGGAAAAAAAAATTAAAAATGGACAAAGGGAGGAGACATGACAGATTTCCAAAACATGAAAACTAGTATGGAGAAGGTGAGGAATCATTACTCGCCATTTCTCACAACATGGGTAAAAAGGAAACATGCAAGAAAATTATCAAGAAAAAGATTTAAACATAAAAAGGATTATTTTAAAAGCAAAACATGCAATAGAGCTGTGGGATGGATTGCTATATGTGTTGTAGAAGTCAAAACTGTAATTCAAACAGGAACTGCAGAAATCAATGGCTGCTGTACCCACTGGTACAAAAAAAAACTGGCTTAATATCCCTGAAAAATGACTGTTGTCAAGATATACCTTTTTCTTGTATTCTTTCAGCCTCAGCTATGGGCATAATCAAAAGCAGAATAGTGAGACTGACCTTTGGTAAAATCCACTATAGCTGCTCTTATCAAAAGGGACCTTACCCCTAACACAGGCTGGACAGGAGCTCTTGTTACCAGGGTGCTCTGCCTGGGCTACAGAAGGGCCTGTGTTACCATCCTGGATACAGTGTTTATGGGGTCTTTGTTTTCAAATCGCAATGGAAGTTAATTTCTCTTACCTAAATACATATTTAACTCAGGATTAATATTGTTGCTCAAGTTCATTTCTGAACAACAGTCATTACACAGGCAAGAAAACACCAATTAGGATATCCGATATCCTGAATCGCAATTAACGTTATGACAGCACAGGGTTAGGCCTGTATGTCCCCCAGGCCAAACCCATTCCTGACAGCAGAGGACTTTTAAGGAGGAATAGCAGAACAGGGCAAGCCTGAAGTGACACCCCTGCAGAATACCCCAATACCCCCTCTGCTGCTAACATACTGGGGCTCAGGGTCATGGAATCAGAGTTGGTTTCTTCAAGATTAGCTGTTGACTGATTTTTCAAACAGAAATTTACATGCTTACTTATTTTTCCATCTCATATAAACACTATCTACCTATCACACTAGGCAATGTGCTCTACAGTCTAATTATTTCATATTCAGAAAAATATCTCACTTTTGTTCCAAGTTTACAAGCTCGTATTTTCATTGGAGCACTTTCACCAATCCTTCTGTATCCTGGGAGACAGTGAACAATCATTCCTCATTCACCTGCTGTATACAATTTGGGATATTACAGGTTTCCTTCTCCTTAGCCCAAAGCTATGGGATTTTACAGGCTTCCTTCTCCTTAGCCCAAAGCTATGGCCAATAGCAGAGAAGGTATCAGAACCACCCATAATATTGTAGGTGTGGGTGCCCAATGGATTTACAGAATGGCCTGAAGATACCATGTGTTCCTCTTCCAGTAATTGCAAACATTTGGGTTGCATTTCTGCCCCAACTGAGCAACCAATTGATGTCTTTAGAGAACTCATATCATGGATGTATTTCACAAATACAAGTAACTAGGTTAGAGTCCAGGTGCTGGATATGTACCGTCCAATTTGTACACCCATGTATTTCACTTTATGTTTCATACAAATGTAGCCTACTGCTATGAAGCAAAGTCCCTTGGTATGGGAAATCCTTCTGACTTTTTACAGACAACTTTTGGGTTTTTTCTTACCTTAAATAACTCATTGCCACCAAACTTCACCACTTCATTGCCTACCCACAACTTAAATTTGACAGGAAATCCCCCAGCATAGATCCCTGCAAAACTACACTGTGATCTCCCTCCATATTGATCCCTATGTTCACTAAGTCTCTTATTAAAATAGTATTGCAGTGGGAGTTAAGAAGCTGAAGCTGGTTGGCTGGGATCCATTTCAACCTCAGCTAATTTTAAGCAGGTATTGCTCCACTGTTGTAACTTGACTCATGTTAAGGCTAGAAAGGAAACTCATACTTAGTTACACCTCAGAGGTGACTGGGGAAGAATCTCTACATCTGCATTTGTCTCTCTTGCTCCATGGATTTCAACTGATCTCAGATAAGCAACTTCTTTACCTGGCTGTCCTGCTGGTGTCATCTGTACTCCTGCCAGCATTGGCTGCTGCTGAGCTGGTGCCCCTGTCATTGGGACCTGCTGGATGCCTGAAGCCCCTGCAATGATGGCACCAGCTCCTGGTTGGCCTGACTGGACAGATGCCCCTGAGCCTGGGGGTCTCCGGTTTGACAGCCCTTTCCCAAAGGCCACAGCTGCTACCAGTGCATTGGTATCTGCAGGGTTGAAAGTCTGCTTGTTCTGTCGTAAACCTGCAGAAAAAGAAGTTGTTATTTTCAGAAGTTACTTTTAGACTTAGCAATCAAAGTCTAAGGAGTAGCATAGCTGCTCCTGAATTTACTTTTTAGCTACTTTGGTTCATGTAATAGAGATGAGTTTTCTTACAAGCTCTCCTACAGGAGTCTCAGCAGGGTCAAAGAAACTGCAAAATCCAGGGACAAGGGTGATCCAAGAGCTTTTTCACTGACAGCAGGGCATAATCTGCTCAGGGAAGGAGGACAGAGGGAGCTAACTCCTCCATGCCCATGAGAAGTTCCCACTAAAGGCTCCATGCTCAATCCTACGGCAGTTAACAAGCACTGTGTTTTAGATAAACAAAGGCAACATCCCTTTTGAAGGCTCATGAGCGGCATGGTGTCTGCAAGTTTTTCTGCCACACATGTGCCCAGTTATACTGTTAATCCCAGAAACTAGACAGAAGCTGTGCTTGGGTCCTTGCTTACACTATGTGTGTGTCAAAGATAATGATAAAAACAATGCCACTGCCTTTAGGAGTTGTGCACAGCACTCCTGGGAACAGTGAACACAACCAGAAAAGGCTGGCCATGAGTCTGATGCACCCATCATCTAGAGGGCATCACACAAGAGCCTGCCAACAATGTAGTCTCCTTCAGAACACAGCTAAGGGGTTTCCCATTCACTGGCACTGCATTTTCACATCTATTTTTATTAATTAAAGTTATTTGAGAGGTTTTCTTGGCAAATACTTACCACTTCCTCAAAGAGGGATATGGAAAAGGGTTGGGATGACCTTCCTGCCATGCACAGGTCACACAAGCAGGACACATGGCACCCACAGGATCCCTTCTCAAACTAGGGACAGCCAATCTTGCATCTTCTGGAATGCTTTTGTTTATGCTGCTCAACTTCAATTCTCATACTTCAGCCTGTCTGTTATACCTGTTTTGCCTCTAATCTCTGAAGCCTGCTGCTTGAACCCCTGCACCCCACTTCCACCTCAGTGACATACCTCCACTTTCAGATTCACGCTCCTCCTTACTGATTTTCTCCAGCAGATTTGAGCACATTTTGTTCAGACTTTGGATCTGTTTCTGCAAAATGAAAACTGTCAGAAACTGCCAGAATATCTCCAACTCAGCACAAATCAGCAAGGAGAATGAACAAGCTTTCACTTCCCAGGGTCTGTGTAACCAACTGTAAGAATTTTGGTGGCTGAGCCTAGGGAGCCCAGTGCTAATGCACACAGGGCACTATGGGGATGAGATGGCCTCCACTTCTCTGACTGGTCCGATGGCACCTCCTGTGAACAGCCAGAGAGCTGGATACCCTGGTGAAACTGTGGAGGAAACCAAACCTCATCTAGGGTCAGCTGGAGAAATCTCAGACAGGAAAGGACAAAGCAAAAAAAAATAAACTTTCAGATGGAAGGGTGAAGGAAGCAGAGTTAAAGGGCATTGCGTGCCCTAGGGATAAGAGGCAGAAGTATCAAGCTGTTCTTTACCTACCTGTGCTGCATCAGGGCTAATTCGAGCTGCATCAGTGATCAGCTGCTTCTCCTGCTCCTCCACCTCAGGGTCGGGCTTAGTTCGGAGATGGTCAGGCACCACCTCATGGCTGAACACGGGCACACGCCCCTCCGTCTGCCGCTGCAATGTTGGACAAGCCTCACTCAGAGCTTCTGCCTCCAGCCCAGGGCACAGGCCATGGTGCTGGAACAAGGCCAGCATGCTGTGCAGAAACCTTGATCTGGGGAGCATTAGGAAGTTTTAACAACTCGTCTAGGAATTTGCATTGTGCCTGTTTAGTCAGAGCAACATATTTATGAATAGAACACCTCCTGTAAAGTGCATCCAGTGCACGTGAGGTGAAAATCCCTCAGCAAAGCAGCTCCCAGACAGAACTACTCGCTGCTTTTTCTTTCTCTACACCCAGGGCTGAGGAATGCCCAGCACAAGGAGTGGCAGGCTGGAGCAGACACACAAGCACTTTCTGATAATCAAGGGACACATCTTACCATGATCTCCTCATCACGGTCTGGAGACAGCACTAGGGGGATGATAACCTGGTTTCGCAGTAGTGGGGTCTTCTCATGCTTTAGCACTTTATTCAAGGTGTTCAGCTGCCCCGAGAGCAATGCAAAGCTGTCCAGAACTGATGGCCTGGGAAAGCAAATAAAGAAGATAAAACATGGAAAGGTATGCCACAGGTGGCTTTTCTCTCTTCTTCGTTCAAATGGCTGAGAAGTGAGGAAGTAACACTATTACTCCTCAAATCAGTCTACTCCAGACAGTGAGCAGTAAAACCCAGGGTTGAATATGCAGATGTGGACAAACCCCAGCCCCTACTGCAAATGTCTCAAATGTTGCAAATAGTTCAGGGATTACAAGCAGCACCATTGGAAGTGTCAGTTGTTTGGGATTTCAGCAACATACACAGGAGCAATTCTCTCCTTACCACTAACTCTCCCAGTGCAATTCTAGAGCAAGGTCTGAGAAATAATTTAACCCCTAGGCAGTACAGCCAGGAGAGACAATATTTATGGCTTGGCTATCCACACTAAGCAATAATGAAGCAAAGTAACTGATAATCTTGTCCCCTTCAGCTTGTTCCCACATGGGGATTCACCACCTCTCCTGCCTTCTGCAACATTAACTACAAATGTTAATGGCCTCTGAAGCTCTCTGCAATGGCAGACACTGTTTAAGATACGGTATGGTTTACTAAGTTGCAGCTATAACATCTTTATGCTCCACCAGGAGGAGAATGCCATCTTGCAAGTCTCTCAAACTGTGTGGTGAAACAGAACTAGCAAAACACAAAAGCTCAGTTTATATCAGAGCCAGAAAAAGCCAGAGAAGGCCAAAAAAATGCAGAAAGAACCATTGCTCATTTCACAGTGCATGTGGGTCTCTAAGATATTTCACCTGAGAACTTCCAGTCACTGCAGATGACTCTATTACTCTGCAGCATGAGATCAATGGATTTCAGCTGGTTTTCTGGTGGAAGACGGGTAGTGGTTCCTCCAGCACAAATATGAAAAGCAAATTTAAACCTACTGACACTAGGTTTCTAACGGTTTCTAACTAATCCTTTGAGCCAAGTCTGAACAGCTTCAGTGGCCAAGCGCCCCCAGCTCCAAGAGACACCTTACCAGGTGAGTCGGTCGTACTCGTTCTCCAGCTTGTAGATAAAACTGACCAAAGAGTTCTTCAGGTCGGCCACCTGACTGATGAGCGCCTCCAGGGTCAGCTCCAGCTGCTTCTCCTCTCTCTAAATTAAGGCAAGAAAGACAAAGGATGAGGACAAAGCTTAACATCCTCCCAAGGTATTGTGAATCCACATCCATGCATCCATAATCCAATTGGTCCTACAGCCAGCCTCCTTTTCAGAGGAAGCAAACAAAGACTCCAGAAATAAAAATCCTGTGGTTTCACATTGACCCCCTTCCCCTTGGGACATTTAGGCAATAGACTTGTGCCTCAGACAAATGCTTGGCCGGCTGTGCTCTTTAAGATCTAGATGAGCATAGTGAAGACATCACTTACATCTGCTTTTTACCACATCAGGCAAAGTCATCAAAGTTAGCGCATGCCACCTTTGTGAGCCATTTAAGCCAACTCAGCTCAAAGTAGATTAGCATTCTCTCAACTTTCTCTGACAGCAGCTGTGGGCACAGCGATGTCTTCATCCAAAACAGCCTTTGCAAAACGAGTACCAGGTCCGTGGCCTAAAGACTCCAGTTTGTGCTCTTTACCTCATTTACCTTCTTTCTGCCCAAGTGCCACCTCCAGCTGCCAAAGAAACTGGCAGCTGCTACCGTATTTGTGCCTTACTGGCTGCGGGAGGCCCTGCTGTGACACGGAAGGTGTCATACCCACACACACACCTCACCTCCTGCCTTTTGCTCGGATTACATTGTTTAAATAATCTTTTCCACTGATAACCCCATCCGGGTGAGGGAGGACGTTGACAGATAAAGTGTCAAGACAGGGGATCTGATGTCAAAGACACCAAGCCATGTCTTTGGCTCTTGCAAAAACCTCCTAAAATCCTATCTACTCTAACTTACTCATACTACAGTATTGCGCAAAATATAATTAAAGTCTCAGCCCTAATGAACTGCTCGTGTAAGTTGAGAACTGTACAATAATAATCCATGAGGAGGGTGGGACAAAGCAATCAAATAATAGAAAGGGAATACCGATTGGGAAAGCAGATAGAGTGACTCAGGCTGCTGGCACGCTTGCTATTGGGTTTGTTGTTGCACTGCTTAAATACACTGGACCAGTGTAAGCTTCACAGGAGAGGTTATCAGGCATCTCCCATGTTCATGAGAACACAATATCATTCTATTTTATTTATATTCTGACAAGTCAGTAATTATTGACAGGACTTCATTTTAGCCACCTTAGAATAACAGCTGAGTTGACCTTGTTAAAATTTGATCCCCCGTCCATGGAGTGGGTTCATGGAAGGGATTGCTGCTGGTTGTCCCACCTAGAGACAAAGGCACCCTCCTCCATCTTGTGACAGGACTAGTCAGTTCCTGTCCAATTAAGAAATGAGCCTACAACTGTTTGTGTGCACTGTGTTTGTGCAAGAAGATTAACTACTGCCTGTATTACAAGCTGGGCAGGTAGCCAGTGTTCTACTACAGGGGTGCCAGGCATATGCACCCATAACAATTCCCCTGGCCCGCTGCCTGTGCTTATCCAAGAAGCCTTCAAGATGAATGAAATCCCATTGCATGTGGCCTGCTCCAAGCCTCCTTCTTTCCCAGGCTCTTCCCAAAGCCATAAGGAGCTGGAAGCAGACGTAAGCAGTGCAAAGCATGCGTACAATAAGACTGACCAGTGATTCTAAGGAATGCCATGCCTCTCTGCCGTGCCTGCCTCTTGTGCCTCTCACAGGGAATGCTTTAAGGAGTTTGTTAGCAATGCTAAATTGCTCAGAGGTAGTAAAGACAGGGCTTATTGGAGGGGTTTTTGTTGCAGCACCTGCTGATAGGGAGCAACTGAGAGATAAAGGTGAAATTCAGAGTAGGTAAATGTAAGCAATGCATTCGGCAGAACAAAGGGGGAAAAAAATCATGACTGGCAAAACAAAGGGGAACACTCCCGCCCCGCCCGGACTTTCTGTACACAATGACATTCTCTGAGCTGATAATGTTGTTACTCATCAACAAGATCTTGGGATTATCTGAGGATAACTCGTGAAAGCATCTGCCCAAGGCTCAAAAGGCAGTCAAGGAAGTGACCATAGGATTTATTAGGAAAGCAACAGAAAGCTAAGCATCCTTATGTGACCGCATAAATGCATGCCTGATTTGCATCTTCAGTATTACGAGTCACTCTTGTCCCTCCAGCTGAAAAGGGATAATGTAGGAATAAGTACTAATAAAGGCAACAAGCATGATCAAGACTATTCATAGTTCTACAAATGCATCAATTAAAAACAGTAAAGAGACTGGTACACACAAGGAGAGAAAATGTAAAAATACCCTATAGATAAGGAATTGCGGGACAATCCATTTTAACTTTCTTTACCGGTAGGACAACCAGGAGACTTGCACGAAGCCAGCAGGCAGAGGTTTCAAACCAAAGGAGGCAGATCTTTACAGCCTGTTAACCTGTCATTAACCTCCGCAACTCTTGCACATAATGGATGCTACAAATTCACAGCATTTCAAAAAAAAAAGTAACCAGGTCCTCCTCCCATTGATGAAATTTCATTCGAGGCTATTCAACACAAGGGATACGCCAGCAACAGTCTACACAGAATGACACCCATCAGCGTGTTTTGCTCTCACGACTTCATCTGGGCACCGGTGGCAAAGCCAGGCTGGTGGCAAAGCCAGGCTGCTGGGGCAGGGGGGCCTTTGGTCTGAGGGCTCTCACCCAGGGCTGCAGCCGGGGCTGAGAGGGGCCGGTGCGCTCAGACAGCCGTACGCACCGCCACCCACCCCACAGCCGCGCAGCAACAAGAGAGAGGCCGCTGCACGGGGGAGCACCACGATTTCGGCCTCCCGCCTGGGCTGCCCCGGCCGCGGCTGTGCCCGGTCCCTGCGGAGCCCCCCGGCCCCGCTCCCCGGCCCTCACCTGCATGGCGGCGCTGGCAGCGGCGCTGGCAGGGGCGATGGCGGCGCTGGCACCGCCCCGGTGTCCCGGGAGAGCGGCGCTTCCGGGGGCGGGGCCGCGCCGACATGGCGGGGGCCGAGCGGCCCGACGGGGAGGTGGGAGCGGGCCGGGCTGGGCTCTGCGGGGAGCGGGGCGGCGGGGCTGGGCTCGGCCGGGAGCAGGCCGGGGAGCAGGGGCTCGGCGAGGGCCGGGGGTGGCGCGGGGCCCGGGGCCGCGGTGGGGAGCAGCGGGGCTGCCCCGGTGCGGGGCCGCAGCAGCCCGGGGTGAGCGGCGCTGGCCGGGGGCTCCTGCGGGGCTGACCTGTGATCCCGCCGCAGGTGGAGGAGGCTGGACACGTGTTCCTCCTGATGAAGAAGGACTACCGCATCTCCCGCAACGTGCGCCTCGCCTGGGTGCTCAGCCGCCTGCACCAGGTCATCCGGGCCGTGCCCGAGCCCGAGCTGGTGAGTCGGTGTCCGGGGCTGGAGGGGTCGCCGCGGCTGGTGCTGCGCCACCCGGCAGCGCCTGGACCCTGCAGAGCATCCGAACCCGGCTCCTTTCTCTGATTCTTCCTGTGACGTGGATTCTTCCTTCTCTCGTTTGCTTGTTCTGGCAGGTGAAGTCGGAGAATGAGCTTGATGTTCTCAGCATCCTGCCTAACGGGTGGCAGCCGGACGAGCCCGTCCAGCCCAGGCCCTATCTCCTGGTGCCCTCCACACGGGTCACCTTCCTGGCCCGCCAGTACCGATTTGTGATCGAGCTTGATCTCAGCCCTTCCACGGGGATTGTGGTAAGTGCAGAAACTGCCTCTCCGGGGTGTTCTGCATTAAAAGGCTGGACCCGTTTCTATTTGCTGAGAAGACATTGCTCTCAGTGTCAGTCTTAACTTTTGCAGAAGTTTTGCTTTTCCCAGGAGGGAACTGGGAAAGCTGTGCTCCTGGCCGAGCAGCTTAATGGCAGGTCCTGTTTCTCCACTGGATGCTCAACGTGTGATTTTTGTTTATGGGAGCTGTTGTTTTAATCCAGCTGCCATTGCAGAAGGATGTTTGCTGCTGGCTCTGCGGGGTGGGACAACCAGCAATGAGATTGAAGGTCCTAGAAGACGAAAAAGCTGTTCTCTTTCTCTGTTTCTGCAGGATGACTCAACGGGGGAGATAATTTTTGATGAAGTGTTTCATGCCCTTTCCCGATGCTTGGTGGGATTGTTAAGACCCTTTCGTATCCCTGGTTCAGACATTATCTACCAGCCAGAGATCTTTGTCACCATCCAGGCATATTCCTCCATCATTGGCCTGCAGTCCCACCAGGTGAGGTTCAGCCTGTCCCTGGGCTTGGCTCAGCTCTCTGTGCCAGGGTCCTGTGAGGGCAGAGGAAAGCAGGGGTGTGTGGCAGCTGGGCTCTGTGATCTGTGATGCTGCAGCCTCGTCTCACTAGAATGTGGCCTGGTGTGGTGCAGAAGTGTGTGTGAGCAACTTCTCCTTTCTGGGCAGAAGGCAGAGGTTTTTCTGGAGAATGCTGCCCACAGGCGTGACCTTAGAATTGGGCCTCAGGGGATATTTGCCTCATGTTGAAAGTGTGCTCGTTGATGTTTTGTTGTTGTTTTTAGTTTCTGTTGATTAATTCTTTTTCCTGTTATAATTATCTTGAAGCATCCAAGCAGAGCCCATGTGCCCAAAACCTTGTCTGCCTGCTCCAGCTGTGTAGCAGTGGTTAAATCAAAAATAATTGCCCCTTCCTACAAACCTTCTTCTCTTTTCATTGCTATGAATATGCTGCTGCTTGCTGGAAGGAGCAGCCAGCCCCAGTATTGAGATTATCAGTGAGATTTTACTTGTGTCAGGGCAGGTCTGTTTAACAAATTCAAGTCTGGTTTATGGTGCCAGTGTGATTTTTGAAGTTCATCTTTGATCTCTTTCACCTTACTGTATTTTCACATTACTTACACATTTCTGATGGTGTGTTTCATTCTTTTGCTAATACCAGAGAAAGTGGGTGGTAACAGGAGGAGCCCCTTAGTCTGTGCATGTTCCCTCCCTCTCCCTGCCCTGCCCAAGCCTTCTGCCAGGGTCTATGTAGGGCCTGAGGAGCGTGGCCTTCACTTTGGTCCATTCTTAGGTGCTACCAGATTAAGCGTAGCAGGACCTTCTCCATTTGCCAGTGGTATTTTGTGTGTCGTCTTGTCCAGCAATCTTGCAGACACCATCCTGCTGTGCCTCAGTATCTCCCCTATTAACACTATATTGGGCTACATCTGTAAACACAGGTGTCATGCATATCAGCTTGGGGAGTTTCTGTGGTGGCAGGTTCACTCTGTCACATCACTCAGCCTCTTCTGTAATGTCCAGTCTAATTTTTTCTTTTCTTTACTTCCTTTTGGAAGATAATTGGATCAGTCTATAGGTGAGTTAGATTAGAACAAACAGGCCTTCCTTAGAAACATCAGACCAGAGTTAATGGCTTCTAGCAAGGATCCCACATCACTTTCTCCTGACAGCTGCTTATCTTGGAAGAATGCAAATGAAGTAAAAATTTCTTGCCCAAGAAGATTTCCCAAAGTGCAATGTGAGCACCTGCTGCAGAGTGAACTGCAGATGCCACGAGACACCACTGCTCAGGGGCAGTCGGCTCTGAGCAGGAGCAGAGAGAAGTGGCCTGTGTTGTACCTGTTCTTTGTCAGGGATGTGTCTGAACTTCACCACAGGGAGCTGTGTTCCTGTGTACCTTTTTGTGGAGTGGTGCTATAAAACCTTAAAGTGATGACTGACGTGTGTGTCCTTGGGCCAGGTACTGTTCCAGGGCTGTCAGCTGGATGAGACGAAGCGTGAGGCCTTTCTGCACCAAGTTTACACACAGCTGTGTGCCTTTGAGAACAAAGTGGCAGAGATGCTCCAGCAACAGTATGAACCCAAACCTCAGGTAAGGAGGGCAGAGGTAGTTGGGGTCTCCTGGCTCCCTTGAGATCTGCACTCTGAGGCCCCTCTGAGGTGAGGTGGCAAGAGGAACAGCAGGGTAGGTCTGCAGAAGGGACAGCTGAGGAGTTGGTAAGATAATGTTGTGGGATGCACTAACGAGACCTTAACTCTGAGGAAAGCAGAACCAGTGTTTAGAAGGACTGATGAGAATCATTACTTTCCCTAAGATTTTTGTGCAGTAAAACAGCTTGACTTGTCTGACATCATGGGACAAATGGTAGGATGTGCTTTCTCTCTGAAGAAGATTGTGGGAGAGGTGATTATGCCCGTATTATTAATCTATAAATAGCTGTGAATATGCCCTTAACCCTTGTTACATTTCATGAATGAAAATACTTTGTTGTTATGATGAAAACTAACCATAAAACTGGTGCAGTTTCTAAAACTGGTGCAGTTTCTAAAACTGGTGCAGTTTCTAATACTCCTTGAAATCTGTGGCAAATGCTGGTTAGTAGCCATGGATATGTGTATCGGGAAATTAATGGAAGCATCATAGAAAGTTTGGGTTGGAAGGGACCTTTAAAGGTCATGTCCCTCGACCTGCTGGCCATGCTGCTTTTGATCTTCTTGCAGTCAAAGTCATTATTGGCCTGTCTGAGATGATTTAATTCTTATTTAGCATTAGTTATTAGAGTTTGAGCTAAAAGGAAAAAAAAGTCTCAAAATCAGATGAGCAAGAGGCTACTGGTGATGTGTTGCAGTTCCATATCTGGAGTGCTCTGAATCTCATATTCCGGCTGAAATTTGTGTGTTTGATTTCTAAGACTGTCAGTCCTGGAACAGAAGGAAGATTGGAGGAAGTAAATACCTGGTCTAGTGAGTCCAGATGGTGTTTTTGCAGTGCTTTGTATGCATTCCTGCTTGAATGCAGTATTTCTCTCATGGTGAACTACCTTATAACTTCTTCCATGCAAATGGGGGAAAGAGACGCTCTTGCAGGCCAGAGGGACTGGTGAGTCCTGCCACAGGCTGTGGGGTGGAGGTGGGAGGCCCCAGGGGAAGGGCAGGGACTGAAACTTTTTTAACTTTTGAAGTTGTATTAGCTGTATCATTGTTAAGGAGTGTCTGAATTTAAGGCATCTGGCAAATTAAAGCGATGGATAGATTTTTTTTTTTTTTTTTTTTTTTTTGCTCACAGCCACAGATTGCTCCCATTTGTGCAAAACAAAAGTTTCCTTAGTCCCAGTTTTCTTTTCCCAGCTCCAGTCATCTGCAGCTTTGCAGGGGAGGGTCCTGCCCATTCTCTGTCTTAGCAGTAAAAATGAAGCAATATTTTATTACAGGTTTGAAGTGCCAGAGCCTTCTGGGGATGAGGGGACTATGAACACAGGTTTCTCGCTGGTGTAATTATACAAATTCCAGGCTTTGCCTGGGGGATATTTTTCATAGAAGGTGGAGAAGTCTACCTGCATTTGTTTGTATCAGCAGTGCATAATGAGTGCTGTTTGAGCAGAGGTAAATGCATAGGCACTAGACTTTGTCCTTGTTCCCTCTGCTGCAGTGAGACACATCTGTCTCTGCTTCTCCAGCCTTTCTGGGCTGAAAAGAGTAGATTAAGTAAGTGCTGAATAGCTGCAGTTTCTACTAAGTGACAAGGGGAATAAATTGGTATTCACCATCTCTTTTATTGGGAACTACTTTGCTCTAAGTGACCCCAAAGTGTCTCATATTTCCTCTTCTGTGAGAAATCAGCTTAGAATAAAGCTCTGAGCATGCTGTCCCGTTCCTCTCCCCTCAAGCAGCCTTGTCCAGCTGTTCTGATGGGCCCAAGTGACCAGGATTTTGAGAGCACCTGGAAGTTAAAGCTACTAGTGGAGTCTGTTGAGGTGCTCCAGGGTTGTGGTGCCATGGGACTGCCAGACTGAAGGGTGTTTGGAAGAGCGAGAACTAGAGCTAGGCTGAAATCAGCCCCGTGGGGCCTTGTGGGGTTTTTTTAACTTTTCCAGGTGGATTTGTCACCCCTGAGCCAAGAGAGCCCTAGTGAGGGGCAGGAGTCATCCGGGAGGAAGCCCAGCGTGTCTGTTGTCACTGCTGATGTTGGCCTGGTCAGCATGGTCCGGCAAGGGATCCTGGCACTGCAGCTGCTGCCCTCCAACTCCAGTGCAGGTTGGCTGCATCCTCGGGGTTAAGGTTTGCCCAGTTGTTTGCAAAGGGTTGTGTTCCTCCTGCCTTAGGCTGAGGTTAATTTTATAAGGGCTGGTACCTGGACCCTTCTGTTGGGGATGAAATTTCAACATTAGCTTTTACTCTCCACGCTGTGGGCAAACTGTGGCAGTGGGAATGGGGAGGACAACACTGTGCCACGTGCTGTGTGTCAGCATTGGGGAGTTTGTGAAGAAGTACAGCTGTGACTGTTGCTCAGGACAACCCGGGATGTGCAGAGCTAAGTGCTGTGCTGTACCTAGCCAGGTGTTTGCCAGCTCCATAATGCCTTGGAAACTCTAAACCATACTCGGGATTTTCCTTCTACTTTTGCCCTGCCTAAAACTTTCTCTCTGGTGG